TTGTTGTAGTTCCAGTTCCTGTTGATGTTGTCGTCCCCGGCAGCTGCTCAGCTGGATGTCCTTTGTCCTTGGCGCTCATAATTCTACTTGTGACAAATCAACGCCCTCTTGTAGCTGACTTCCTGTGGGTTATGTGTAGTTTCTTATTTTTTTTTTTGGCTGCTCTTTGAGAGTCCTTGGCGCTCTCGCGTAGTCCTTGCTATTACTGTTTATCAAAAGTAATTTCGCTTTTTTATTTCCTTCGACTATTGCCAGCGATTTCCGCCGGCTTTCCGCTCCTCTCCGGCTCGTCAATAATTTCATCTCATTTCATTCTTTGTCATAAAAATGGTCAACATCCATTCCCCCGAAATGTAACATGGCAGCGAAATGTTGTTGCTGGAAGCATTTGATGCATGCAATATGCAGAAAGTTTCCTATTTCAATAAAAAGCAAGAAACGACGTCGAATTGTGGATATAAATCTATAAAAATCTCAGCATTTAATATCGTAAAAAAATATCATCCCTAAGGAGTTGGTCCAAGGAAAAAGGCGGGTAGGAAATAAAGTTTCTTTATTTTTCGGTTTCTGGTTTTAGTTGCTCTATCCCGGAGACAACAGCTGGCGTTGATGCAACATTGTCACAGGTCACAGAAAATTATTCAATAAATTTGTTCTATAAGATTCAATATACCTAAGAGAGTTTTATAATTTCACAGCTTTCTCATCACTTTTCTTTTGAACTCGAACCCATCTTCAAGCCAACAATGAACTTCAATTAGCACATACATAAAACCCAATTAACTTGGCTGACTCAAGTCAAAACCAAGATAAAACCAAGAAACTGAAACCAAGAAAATGCTTACCATTTTAGGGAAATTTATTTAAGGGTTGGTGGCTGCAGCGGGCTACTCATAAAGGTGACAATCAAACCGCAGATTTTATTAGCTGACATATTTATGAATATTATTAACATTTCGTTTGGCAAACATTAATGCGAACAAAAACAGGCAGAGAATGCCGACTGGGAAATGCGCAGAAATGGTTATGATTTTTTGCATTCGCCAGGATCCCGGGATTTCGGATTTCGGATTCCGGAATCCCGATCCTGAATGCGAATTTCCAAGGGTGCGCGCCTCCGTGGCTCATTAATTTTTATACGCGGTGCGTGTGTGTTGCATTGCAATAAAAACATATTTTATTAGTTGACGAAGAGCCGGAGACGGAGCCACCACCACTGCCCAGTCTCTCTGACGACTGCCTGTCGGCATAAATTCATTATTTATGGTGCAATCAATGGAGCTGCCGAGCGTATGTCAGGCCCATCAAACTCATCAGTTCGCATCGGAATCATCATCACCGTCATTTGCCAGGATGATCTGCGTCTGCCACATAGCGGAAGTTTGTTTATTTTATAGTTTCTGACGCCTGTCGTTTGCCGCCCGGAGGCGCGAAAATTTATCCTAGATTTTTGGGTATTTTAGTTAGCACTGGGGAGATCCTGGGAGATTTATAAATCAAAACTATATCAAATAGAAATCTTGAACTCATTTTGTATGAAGATTTTGGGATTTTAAGATAAAACTTAGTGTAGAGGATAATATTTTGCAGTTACAACTTTCTATAAATAATATTTATATAAAACTATTAATAATATTTATTATTTAAATAACCCTATAGTATTTATTCCTACCCAAAGCTATCCTAGGGTATTTTCCTATTCGATTTACAAAATCTCTCTGAATTTTCGCCAACAATTTGCGGCACGACGGGTTGTCCTTTTTGACAGTTATGTGTCTCCGAATCTTTTTGGCAAATTTGAATGCATCCTTTTTGGGAGGTGTGGGGTGTGTGTTTTGATAGAGGGTGTGGCCGGCCATAACTCTGTTTGACTCGGGATAATTTGCCTTTTGAGAACTATTAGGTCGTAATCTCGGGTTCAAGCTGCCAACAGAAAAACTAATTAAAATGTTCGACCCGCTTGATGAATGGCCTGGGACTTCCTATAAGCAGACATGTATCCTGTGATAGGGAATCCACCCTGTAATTAATGCGATTCGAGTGACTATGTTCCATCATCATCAAACATCATCTTGCGTGATTCGCTAAGAGTTTTTCTTTCAGCGCATATCCTGCCACTTTGTGGATGAGGCGGTCACGCATCGCCGTCTTGTCATAATTTTCTTATTTCGTTTTTCGTATAAAATTTCCTATTAAATATTCATGCGAATCTGGAGAATGTCAGTTTGGTTCTTCCTCTTAATGACATTTCAATAATTAATGTACTTTCCCTGCTTTCCTTTTTTTTCGGCGCGCTCGCTTCATTTCACTTCGCCTCGTTTCCTGGCTCGTGTGCGTGTCCTTTTGCCTGGACTTCTCGACTCCGGCTATCTGACTAGATGTCATCAATCAAAGTATATTTTTAAATGTTTCGGTTGCTCCCGCCTGTCGCGGCTTATAAATGATGTTTTTGTCGAGCACTTTTTCCCATTTTGATTACATTTTTTTCGGTGGGGGCGCTGCTTTTTTTGGATTGATATTTTTCCAGAGGTCGCATTTTGATAATTTTCGAGCCACTAATCCAATTTCCTCTTGTACAATTTTCCTCCATTTGCACAACTGTCATAATAGCCAAGGTGGAGGCTGAAGTTCGGTGGAGTTTTCCAATTGATTACACGACACCCACACGCGCACGCCTTTGGCTAATCCTTGGCCCAGGACCCTGGCTCTCATAATTCCCTAACAAGAACATTTCTACGTAGCTGCACAAAAAGTCCGAGCTAATGACATTAGGCTGCCTGCCATTAGTTCATGCCTGATTCGATTTTATTTCATTTTATTTCTTTGTCTGCTGGCAAAAAATAAATACAAGGTAAAGTAAATGGAAGAAGTAATACAATTTTGGGTTAGGTAGATTTATTCTTTGATGAAGTATATTAAAAATTTATTGGGGTTTGCCTACTAAAATATTCAGAAATAAATATTTAACACATAAATCATATAATGCGTTTTGTTTGGCCCTTTAAAATTCAAGAAATAAATTATTAAAATTTTTTTTTGTCTATTTAAATTGCTTGTCTAGGTTTTAATGGGTTCTCCAACTCAAAAATGCACAATCAATTATTATTTTTTATTTCTTTTAAAATAGTTTCGCAAAAGGGCAACCCAAATTCAACTCCAACCAATTTAATTTTCTCCTTTTGTTTGGGGATTTGCCTTTAGCTCCTTTTTTTTTGGGTCTTCATTTATTTCTGCACGAGCATCCGCCGATCGGTTCGATTGTCTTTCAGCCTTTTTGGGTCTGTTGCCTGTCTCTAGGCCATTCAAACTAATTCGTTTTTTCAAAAATAAAGAATATAAAGAAATAAAGAAAAGAAAAATAAAATTGGCCAACATGTCCGAGAATTAAATGGAAGTTAGATACGGATCAGTCAAGGTTAAGACCAAAAAAAAAAAGGATAACAAAATAAAACTGGGATACCTCTCTTGACCGAAATGAATTCTTGGAAATTTATGGATAAAGTTTTGTTTTGATTCGAGTTCACTTAACTCTAAGCGATCTCTGAGCCCCCTTACCCCCTTTCCGCGGCATTAGAAACACTTTCCGAACTAATTAGGGAACGAGAAGTTCTGCAAGAATTTCCTGGCAGGGATTAAATGCTTTCTGTCTGTGATTTTTACAGCTCTTTTCGCTTTTCGCTTACAAATCGCTCGACATTTGGCGCAGCTTCAGGATAATCATAAACTTGTGTTAATTATTTTTCATATGCCAAGCCAAACTTTTATCTGTTTAACGTTAATTAGTTTTGTTTGGCAAAGTGAAATTTCTGATTTCTTTTTGCGCGCGCGCTTTTCAAACTTTTATTAACTTTTTTTCGGGGCAATCAAAGTGAATTGAACTGCAGGATGTGCACGGATATGGCAGCTGCATAAGTGCAAAAGTTTAATTAAAAGTCCTGGTCGTGTTCGCGGCGCCGAGTCATATCCTTGGAGCTGATGACGAGACCCTCAAGGATTGCATATTGTGCTTCTGTGTTTTTTTTTCCTGCCAATTGGCTTGCTTGCAAAAATTAACTTAAAAATGCAAATTGTTTTGTTAGCACCTAATTTTTGGATATTATCGAGGGCGGGAAGTAAGATGGTGTTCCCCTACTTTTGGCAGAAAGTTTCTGCTTCGAAAAATCTTGGAAAATATTTTTGTATTTCTCTTTTTTGCATAATTGAATTTTCTTTGTGTGTTTGACTGTTGCCGCCGCTTGTCGAACAATGTGGAAAACTTTGGTTGCCAGAGCTCATTTTCCTTGAAGCTTAAGGATTCCTGGAATGTAGGAATTTATTCATGGGGGTAGAGTATTGAAGAGAGAGTTTATTTTATTTTTAAAAATTTCAGAGTCAAGGTATACTTTTTTTAATGGTTAGATCTTGAAGACTAGACGTAATATATTTACCAAGTGGTTTTATAATTGTATTGTTATATTGCTTTTAATTTTATTTATAATTTTTAAGATATAATTATGTATGTATTTACTTTAAACTTCAACTTAAAATGGTTCTAGAAACTTCGAGTTCCTTCTTTGGAGTGTAAATTAATCGTAACAATTAAAATAATAAGATAATAATACTATTGTAATACTTATGCTTTGATAAATTAAATGTTTTTAAATTTTTCCTTATAAATGTTCCGTCGGCAATCTCTTTTGGTAATAATCTTGTTCTGAAATAATTCTTAAAAACAAAAATCGAAGTCTGTTTCATTTTATGTGTGATTTATTTCATTTTTAAAACAATTTGTCACCTTAAAGTATATTTCCTTCCGTCATATCGGCATTAAATCAAAATATAGCCGTCGGAAATTGAAGGAGTATATTCTTGATTGATTTCTAGAAAATTCTTTTTTGCCGTCGGTATATAAAAAAATGTCAGAAATGTGGTTATTTCACCTTCATTTCCTTTGCGTCATCGTTCAAAATCTGAAAAATTGCCCCGCCATCAATAAATGAAAAATTCAACAGAGATTTATGTTTATAATTTTCGCATTATATTTTGTTTTTTTTTTTTATTGACTTTTTGTTTGACAAAAAATTGATGCAATTTTTAGCCAACTACGATTCATTTTTCATTCTTTCTGGGTTTTGCTCTCAGGAAAAACTTAGAAAAAAAGTCGCTTACAAAAGAACTTACACACTATTACAGTAGTAATTCATTTAAATAGGCTTTACATTTAAATTATAGCTAATGAAACTATTTTTTTTGAGGTCTTTAAAAAAGTACAAAAGTTTTGGGGACATTTTCAAAGAGATTTTTATAAAAGATTTTTGTAAAATATTTTTTTGTTTTTTGCAATTTTTGTAGATTTTTTCTTTCAATTAGTATTTTTGTAGAAACAAAACCATTATCACAATCGCTTTGATGAGTAAACTAAAGGTTGGGTGGGTTTGTGGTTGATTTAGAGTAGAAATCGAATGCCGTCGGCTGTTGCATGATGACTGATTTTCGGTTTTTTTGGGCTGGCTGATGCTTATTTCCTTTGTACTCTGGATTTTGGACTGGACTATAGTTCTCCGCTGTAGCTGTAGTTAGGGTTTACTCCTCCTCCTCACTGCGATGGCTTGCGATATTTTCCGGATTTTCTGCCCGACTTGGGCAGGCACTGGCTGAACTGCTGCAGCGTTTCCAGGACAATGGTGGCCAGGAATCGCCACTGGGACTCCCGCATACGCAGGATTTGCCGCTCCTCCTGCTCCGCCTTCCGCAGCAAAGTCGCCTGATCGGGTATGAAGAATGCCACTGCCATTGTTGTTGTATTTTTCTTAACTCCGATGCTTTGTTTTATGTATTTTATTTCAAAGTTGGAATTGCACAAGATGACTCAATGACTTTCTCTTCGGCACAATGAGTGTTTATCAAGTTTTGTGTAGTTCTTTGTTGTTGTCTCGCACACGTATTTCTTTCGTATTTTTGAGTTCGTTCACTTTGTTCTTGGGGTTTCTCTTTTTTGAATAATTTTATATCTTTCGAGCTGCCTTCGCCTCGCTGGGTAATTTCCAACTGAATATATTGAGTGCTGCTCGCTGGCTATTTATACCCGGGCTCTCCCTGGCCTCGGTTCGCTCTTCTGCCCGGTGGTTGCTGCTCTCGTGCTCTCTGTAGAGACTCTCTGGCCGAGGTTTTTTTGTTTTGGTATTTTTGTTGACATCGCCTCATTCGCAGCTCCCAAAAAAAAAAAAGGTTAAAATTTGTGGTGGGCGGGAGGCGGGGCCACCTTGCGCCTGTTGCCAAGCGTGCTTGGTATACGCTTGAGCGTCGCCTTTGTTGTGACTGTGTGTGTGTGCGGCGAGAAGTACAGTTAGCATATTAATTGTATTAAATCGTCAGGGCATGACAAACGCTTTCAGCCAAGGAGTCGGACAGGGACAGAGACAGGTGGAGAAAGGGAGACGGTAAAAAGCCTTACTTTTGAGGTCTGCAGCTTGGAATACTCTTTGGTATACGATGTATTCTAAATGGAACGTGGATTAATTTAGATCGGCCAAACGTTTTACTATATCTAATAATATCATAATACAGCATTATATAAAATTTCACATCGATCTGATTAAAATATAAAGAAAATGTTTGCCTTTCTACTCTGATATATAGGTATATTTTATTCGATATAATTATTTGGCTTTATAAATCTAAATAATACGTACCTATACTTCATATATGTACTTTAAAATAGCAAATATATAATATAATAATACATATGTTAAAATATAGACCATTTCCCAACTTCTTTATGACTTATAAATACCCCCGCAAGTGTATAACAAGAGAGCGTTTTGTGTGGGTGGCAGACGTACTTGAAATATGGGCAAGTGGGCAAACTTAAGTTCCCATTTCTTTTATTTCTCTCTTTGACGAGCCCACCTGTCATCCATATCTATATACTCGCATCTCTCTTTATCAGTATCTCGCGTTCTACAAGTGTTTACACAATCATTCGAAGCTTCCGACTAAGAATTATGACAATCGGCCATAAATTAACGGCACGCATCTCCATATAGGGTATATTTGACACAATGGATATCATATTTTTGTATATTTCGCTGGCAGTATACCCATTAGAGCGGAACAAGTCGGATATGAATGAATATTTTCGCAGGAAAGGGTTTTTTGTTTTTAACAAAAATTATACTCGGGATCAAAATATTATTAATTAGCCTTCGGATGGTTATGATATACGAACAATGGCTTTCGTTTGTTCATTGTCCTTTTTTTATAATTTTATGAATGAAAGTGTACTTACTTTGACCCGTTTTGTCTATTATAAAGAAAAGGAGACCTACTCATTATTATTATATTATCATTATAAGAAGATTGTACTTTTATTTATTAAGAAAATAACATAAATTTCCTAATGTTTCGTAATCTAGAACCAGAATGAGTAAGTGAATATTACTACTTTCTCTTTTATGACACAAGAGCCTATAGTGAGCTTTCTCAATCAATAATATTTTGCGTGAAAAATGAGTAATTGAGATAGTTACTAATATATATTATAAAGATATTTAGAATGAAATGATGGAACGCTTTATCTTATCTTATAAATAACCATAATATAGTATAAATAATTAAGGCCTCATAGCAAAATGTTTTAAAAGATGTGCAACAAATAAATCATTAGTTTTCTATACTTTAATTGTTATGCCTTTTTTATTATTTAATTGAATTTTATATGCTCGTTTTGCTTATGAAAAAAATTCTATTAAATTATTAACAATTATTTATGCTTAATGTAAAAAACAATTAAGGGTAGTGTAATTTTTGGAAATATTTAACATTTAAAAATGTCATAATTAAGTCAAAAAAAACATTAAATTCAATTTGGAAAGCTTTTCTATGCCACAATTTGCTAGGTTAACAAATCTGCATACCAAATTTAAAATTTAAAGAAATCAAAATTTTGGCCATTGTTGACTATTTTCACGCTGTAACCCCTTATCAAATTTTGAAAAAAATTAAAAAATTAATTTTTATTCCAGACATGCCTAGAAAGACTCCCCTGTTGATGCTGATTAAGAATATATATGATTTACAGGGTCGGAAAAGCCTCCTTCATCTGACTGGAATTGTAATACCCTGCAAGGTTATACAAATAAAACAGTACCATAGTTCCCTGTTCCAGGCTAAACTCCACCCACAAGGCCGTAGGACTGTACCTACACACGCACTTGAGCACACACCAACTGTATCTTACGGATTGCGTCTCAAGTGCCTCCACTGCGATAGAGAATAGCTGCCACTTCGGGGGTTGTTCTGCGTCATCGTCGCCAGCTACTGCTTCTCCATCTGCGATGTCTAGGTCTATTGTTGGAGGAACTACTCTACTTTTCTCTTGCTCTTTCCCTTTCGCACACACACACATAGTTATGTTGTTTTTTTTTTTCCTTCTCCGTTGGTCTTTTCTTTCCGGGTTCGCGTCAACACACATAAATCCGGGAAGCCTGGGCGTGGCTTATTTCCTAACAGCGTTTTATGCTCCGGCGGGCCAAAAGAGGAAGCCAAAATATAATGTTCTTTGCTCTCTTTCCGACCTTTTTTGGGGGGGACCAATGTGGTTCGAGTTGGAAATTTGTGAGTTTTTGGGTCTGTCTCGTTTTCTGGGGCGGAGCTTAGGTTGGGACCTTTTTTTCTGTGGCTTCTGGCTGAATCATTGCCAGAGAAGGTGGAGTCTCGAAGGGTCATGGCCAGCATTATCCCTTAAACATATTCCATTTGAGCTCAACCTGCGGCAATTTGCGCATTAAACATAATTGAGGCTCTCGAAATGTCAATTAGTTCGATGATTGAACTCTTGAAGACCTTTAGCGTAATCTTTCGCCTGTTATTCTTTACCCGAGATTATGATCTCTGGAGTTCTCTAATTGCCCAATGAGGCGAAATCTTCAAACCTTCAGATAGGAATCGGAAGGTCTTGTTTATTTTAAATTTCCTTAAAGGATTACATTCGAGTCATGCGGGTCATTATTGGTTTCTTTTTATTCAAATTAGTCATGGAACAAGTAGAGGGTTGCCTTTGGAAACCCATATATCATTTGCATATCTAATTGTCTGACTTTACGATTAGGTGGTGTCTTGTGGCCTATTGAATTTGTCAAATTAGATATTATTTCCATCGATTAAGTTCTCAATCTGCATGCCAAATGACCCACATGTTATTCATTCCTGGGAAGTGTGTCAATCGAGATCGAGTCTTTGATCAACCCGGAAGTCCTGTTCTGGTACCGTTTTTCTGATCAGGATTCCAGAAATTCACTTTACGAGTTATTCCCAAATGAAAGCAAACTTTCAGCCGTAATTTCATCAGTTGCCTTTTTTGTGGTCATCTTCTGACGTGTCTCGGGCGTCTTTGTCTGGGGACTGCCTCAAAATGTTATATCTTACACACACCCCAGATATACTATGTATGTACGATTATAGTATGTGAAAACATTCATAACATTCGCGGATGCTAATGAGTAATATCAACAATGCGATAACTCGACTGGGTTTTTTTTCTTGTATTTGATTGTCCCGTTATTATGTATACCATATAGGGTTTATTAATCAGAATTATTTAAGATTTATTATGACACGATTAATTCTCAGAAAAATGAAAGGTACATTTAAATCAAAAACAGAGTAATTTTATCATACTAATTAAATATTTGTAAGTTATTCTCTTTGATAAATGCTTTATTTTATTAACAAGTTTTTCAGTCGTATCTCATTTGTTGAATCATTAGGAATTTATCATCTTTAATGCTCTACTTAAGAGTTATTTACAATTGGTTCCGTCTGATCTTTAACAGAAATAGAGACAGACTTTCTCTATTTCGATTTTGTGCTTTATTACGCTTTCCAATTAAGTTTTGATAACTGAGACTTTTCTAAATATATTTATGTAGCATTTAATATGATATTTATACTGTCAATATTTTTATTCCCACATAATTTTTTAGTTTATTAGAAGAAAAGATTATTTTAAAGTCAAATGTCAAGTCTTTTTTATATAAAACTAATTATAACACAATTTAAAATCATCTCTTCTTTTCTTATAATCTTTCTAATTCATTATATATCATTTTTATACCCTTGCAGGGTATTATAATTTCAGTCAGAAGTTTGCAACGCAATGAAGGAGACGTTTCCGACCCTATAAAGTATATATATTCTTGATCAGCATCAATAGGGGAATCTTTCTAGATATGTCAGGAAGAAATCGATTTTTTGGGCATTTTTACAAAATTTTATAATTTTATAAAATTTTTGATTTTGATAAAAAATTGAATTTTCAAAATTTTTAAATGAAGTAAATGGTTTATTAACTGTAGAAAATCTTGCACAGAACAGTTTTCCGATTTAAAATTAATGCTCTTTTGGCCGAGTTATGATATTTTTAATTTAAAAAAAATCAAGAAGTTTTTTAGATTTTCAGATTTTAAAATACAAATTAATATTTTTCTAAGTCAAGGAATCATTTCCGAATCGAAATTAATGCATTTTTGGCTTAGTTATTATATATTTTAATTGTTACCTGCAAGGGTATACAAACTTTGGCTGGCCAAAGTTAGCTTTCTTTCTTGTTAATAACTAAATTCAATATTAAATTAAAAACTCGCTACCAAATTGGGTCATCTTTGTCAGCTTCAATTCATTCATTCATTAAAAAAATTCTCATAAATTCCCTCTCAATTTCATTTCCTCATACAGGTTGGTGTGCCGCCGTCTCCCGCCCTCTGGCTTTGTTCAATATTTTATTCCCAGAATTGCGCAATATCAGTTCTTCACCAAAAAAAATATTGTCATCTCTTTGTTGCTCCCGCAATCTTCCCAATCCGAAGAACTCTCCATTTCTCACACTTTGCTGTTTGTGTATCTTTTTCTGCCTCGGCTCTGTTTCGTTTCGTTTCGTTAATTTGTGTTAATTTTTCAAGATCCCAACTGGTGGTCTGTGCGGTTGGGTCCGCACTTCGATCTTGTCAAAAACGTATGTATATTTGGGTTTATTTGATTT